TACTGAGCCACACCCCCAGATCTATTTTGTATTTTTATTTAGAGTCAAGGTCTCACTGATCAACTTAGTGCCTCTCATTTGCTGAGGCTGGCTTTGATATTGTGATCCTCCTGCCTCAGCCTCCAGAGCCGCTGGGATTACAGGCATGCGCCACCATGCTTGGCTAGCACCCAAGTCTTTTGACCACAGGTCTTTTCTCTTTTTAGAGTATCTATCCTCTGTTGTAACTTCACACATTTTAATTTGGGGGAAGCAGGGTCCCTTCCTATTCTGCAGGGACCAAGGGTAAGAGTTAATTATCTGAAAAAGAGTAGAAGGAGTGACACCCAGGCAGATGTCCAATTCCACAGTGTCATTTCAGTACCAGCAGAAGCGCCTCTGTCACCTTCCTTGACCATACCAGATGAAATATTCTGTAACTGGTCAACTTTTTAAATTTTTATAGCTTTTCAATTAATAATCCATGTTTAAACCTGTGGGGAAAACACCTGTGCAGAAATTTGAGTCAAGTATGACCTGTTTTTATCAATGAATAAGAACTGGACCTTGTTTCTCCTGCCTATGCAGTTCAAACCCTAGGACACTGAATTTTTAGTTCTAGTTATGTAGAGGCTGAGATGTAGCCTCTGCTTTATTTCTGAGAGCAGCTGAATTTAATCTGCCTCAGATGGAACTAAAACTTCACCTCCTGCTTTCCTCACATGCCAGAGTGGCACTGTGACATGTGACTGTCCAGACCAGCCCTGCAGATGTGTGTGTCACCAAGAATGGAGACATCCTGCCAGGATATAGTAATGTGCTTCCCATTGCTTCTGACAGCAGGGGCCCCAGACCTACTGGCTCTAGGGGGTAGTTTAAAAAAACTTTTTTTTTTTTTCAATTTAAAGTAAAAATCAAAGCAGTACCATCTGTCATACGAATCTGCTATGCCAGGGAAATTAGTGTGATCAGTGGCCTGGATCTTGTTCAGAGCACTCAGGGATGGTGTCCCATACCACCCCACGTGTCCCTTTCATATAGCTTTGATCGAGAGCTGAGCATTTGTGCTTGGGGAGCGGGGAAATACCATGGTGGAGGAGGGACATGGTGTGAATAGTTCCCTTTCCTGCTCATTTCATGTTGGTGTTTGGTGAGGTCCCAGATGGACACAGTGTATGGGCTCTCAGAAACAGCACTGCCTCACCAAGGACGCCTTCCAGGACAGGCCCCGCTAAGCAACTGCTCCTCTGCACCGAGCCCCTGACAACTGGGTGATTCATTGTTGCTAACGTGCATAAGTAAGGGGTGTTTTGGAAAAGGAAAGAGACTCTAAGGACAGAAAATATGTGTGCATGTCCACACGCTGAGCTGGAGGATGCAGCAGCCAGGAGATTCTCACAGTTCTCATGGGAAGTTGTGGAAATAAGTCAGGGATCTGCTCTTCTTGCTCTCCATACCTGAGCCAGCCACAATTCACGGCCATCCCGGCAGCAGTGACCCAGCCCTAGGCACACAGAGGACCAGTGAATGCTAGAAAGTTGTCTATTTCAAGATTCTGAAGAAGACACCTTGCCCAAAACTTGTCTGAATGTTCTGTGCTGTCCCCTTTGTCCCCCCTGAAAGATAAATAACACTCTCATCTGTAAACCTGCTCTCCACTCAAGATCTTTCCAATCTGTTCAAGCATGTGCCAAGAATTAGTGAACATCCTCTTTTCTCAATTTGAGTTCCTTTGATCTAATGTTAAAGTGGGCTGCTGGTCATTCTTTATCAGAGTCCAACCATGTAGTTAAATTGGCCAAGGCAATCAGCAATTTTGTGCCTTGTTGTTGAACATGAAGTTTGCAAGGATTATTTTTTCTCTATTTACTGATCTAGAGTTTGCCTTCATCTGTGTAAAAACTCCAAATAATCTTGGAATAAAGCTAACAAAAAAAATTAAAAAATAAATACCTGGACTGTGGAAACTTGCTCTTAATTTACTGTACATTTCTTTGCAAATTGACAACTTTGGGTCTTAACATTAAAATGTGTATCAGTCACTTATTGTAATACTGTCTCTGAAAAATCTCCATTTGTTTCCAGATGTTTAGTAGGGACTTAGTGATTTCACCTACAAGAAAAAATCATAACGTCTGTTTTCTTGGTGCTTGAGGATTTATGAAGAGTTCAATAACATTATCTCATTTTTCATGTCAGTAACACAGAGGCGGACAAGTAAGAATTATTATCCCTTTGTGATAGCTATGGAAACTGAGGCCTGCCCGACATTGCTAAGCCGGAAACTGAGCAGGACAATCAGGACTGGAGCCCCCAGTTCCTGCCTCCAAAGCCCACATTCTTTCCACATTCCCACGCTCACTTCACCCTTGACCCTGGCCAGGAATCAGAGCAGATGTGCGCGCCACAGAAGAGGCAGCATGGATAGATTGGGATGGACCCATCCATGCTCCCAGAAAAATAATTCAAAATACACATCCTAGTGATGATGGGATGCAGCGTGTCTTCAAATACAAGAGAGAGTGTATGTAATGCAGAAATGATGTATGGGTAACTGACCAAAATTGTCTTGAAGTCTGGCCACCTCATGGACTGGAGAAAGTGAAGCCATGAAGGTCAACCATTTCTATGGTTGTAAGAATAAAAATGCATGATGGGGAGTGCGGAAGGAGGAGAAAGAAGATACAGTGAGTCCCAGAGGTACCACCCCACTGTTTCTCTCTGCAGCTCCCTCACCAGCCTGAGTCAAATCAGAGGCCTTCTTTAGGAACCACTTGGTAGTTTCCAGATTCAACTTACTTTCCTTTCACAGTGCCTTTGGGTAAGCCCTTTAAAATCCATCCCAAATATCTTTTCCCTTCATGTAACTCCTGGTCATAGTTAGAGTTGGGAGCAACTTTTGCAGGAAGCTGTTTCTGAACATTGCACCAGGAATAAGAGCCTTCTTTTCCTCTTCCCTTTTATATTGAGTTCCTTTATCTTGGCATTGCTAGATGGAGAGAGCTTGCAAGAGATGGAGGTGGTTTTGTTTATTTGGTGGAGGAGACACAGGACTGAGGACTGGGCAGCCCTGGCCAGGCCCTTTCTGTGACCTCAAGTCTCAGCGAGGCTTCCCTGATGACTGACAGATATCCAAGGGGAGGGTTCTTAGCCATCTCTGGATTTAGTTTTACAAACTGAGTACACAAATGAATTCATTTTAAAATCCACTCTCGATCCTACTGTGGCTTGGATATGTTGAACAAGTCTCCCTTTCACATGTGCAACAAATGTATATAAAGCCACGAGAAGACGACCTCAGCTCTTGGAACTTGTAAACATTTGAGCCATCTCCCTCTCGAGGGAAAGCCCCCAAAAGAATTTCAAACTTCAAGCAGAACTGACAACCATTTATACTCTGTTTGAAGTTGTAATTTTTTTTTAAAGCCAAAGATCTTCTTACAGGTTCAGCCATTTCCTTAATGAAATTAATATTTCTCACTGAATGGTTTCATGCAAAAGTGCTGGGGATGCCTGGGGTCTGGATGTCGTTCCTGTGATTTTTCTACATAAGGAAAACCGTAAGCTGGGGCAACCACTACCCAGAGGTTCAAAATCTTTTATGAACTTCATGCTTCCTTTGTGTGGGTCTGAGAGAGAATGGAATTGTGTGTGTGTGCATGTGTGGGTACAAGTCACACACCTCTGACTCCTCACCCTCACGCCTCAGGCAACTTAAGCAAAGGGATTAAAGGCTTCTTCAGAATTCACACTGTTGCTTTAGTGTTGTTTTTAGTCTGGAACATTCCAAAAGAGAGGAAATCTCCAGGCTGTTGCCTTCTGTGCCCCGAGATGTCTGTCCTGGGGTCTGCTGCCCAGCCTGCCTCTCACAGTCCTTGCAGAGCTGTTGACCTTGGGGAGCCCCAGAACTTTGACCAACTGCTAGAGGTATCCTTGGACAGAGTATTTCCTTTAAAGTATACTTTCAGCACAGGAAGCTCACCTCTTCACAAGTGTCCTCTATAGACTTTCTAAACAACTTCTCTCAACTGCAGGGGAGAATCTGAGATCATGACGTGCACTTAAGGCTCAGGAACCCCAGGCAAGGTGCTGTGTGCTGGGTGGGTCCTGAAGGGAAGTTTAGGGATCTAACAGCTGGCCCAGTGTGGAGTGGGACTGTGGCCTCAGGAAGTGGTAGCTGCAGGTGAATCTAGCTGGGGTGCAGAGAAGGTAAGGACAGAGTTCCAGAGGAGCGGAGATGGTTGCAGGAGAGACAGAATGTTCCGAGTGAGCATTCTAGAGCTTCGTTTCTGACTTCTGATCTGGTACTGCCACATAGCAACTGTGAGTTCACCACTCTGTGCCTTTATTTCCACATTGGTGAAATGCGGGAAGATAGAACCTCTTCTGAGGGTGGTATTTTAGTGGACTTGTGTGTTAAATGCTTAGAATAATACCTGACATACAGCAAGCACTACACAGCTGTTAGCTGCTATTATCGTCACCACCACCACACTTACCCTCATTAATGTGATCACAGCTGTAATGCTATTCGTAAGCTCTGCAGAATCATACAGTGCCATAATAGAGTTATGACAGTGGCTACTTCATTCAAGCCAGGGAACGGGAACATCCCGACTTGGATTGGGTTGAGTGGTACATCTTTCCTATTGCTAATGAGTGAAAAAGTAACTGCCCTTAAGAATGACCTCTTATCCCTTAAAGATGTTTTTTGTTTTGATAATTAAAAAAAAAAAAACACGAAGTCATTCTTCCAACAGGCCTAAAGCACTCTCCCTGCTGGCTCATTTACGCAGTTCCTTACCATTCTGGGATGTGTTCTACCAATTGTTCAGCAACTGTTAATTATGCTCCACAGTATTCTTATAAAGTTCCTGTAGAAATGTCTTTAGGGTCCTAGGGGCAGCAGAGTGTGAGAGGTGGAGACGGTGGAGACCCCGCTGCTGAGCTGTGAGGGGTACGTCCGGGTGTGACCCTGCACTCACAGAGTCTCACGCTACTGCCTGTCCTTTCCTTCCTAGATGACTACGCCCAGCTTTGTAACATCCCTGTGACGGGTCGCCGGCAGCCGTATGGACAGGACGCCTTGGTGGACTTCAGTGAACAGTATGCTCCAGAAGCCGATCCCTACTTCATCCAAGACCGTAAGCAAAACTCTTCAGTCACTTTGAAACTGAATTGTGATTAAAGATTGCTCAGTGGTTCTCAAAATGTGCTCCTTGGGAACTTGCTTCGAATGGAGGTTTACCGGGCTCAGAAGGCTAGTTCTACTGAGGCCTCTGAGTGACCTGTCCCCACACTTGATCCTGAGAACCATGGAGTCATGATTGGTCTTGCTGGTCGGGCGTACTGCTGTGTGCACTTTCCTTTCGGTAACAAACACGATCTTATTGTTACAATTGTTACAGCAAAATCCTTTCTTTTCATGGTAGGAGGTGGCCTCGTTCCAGGGTTTCCTTGACAGCCTGGTTGTATTGTAGCCTTTGTTTTATACGAGGAAATGACAAATGTTAACTGAACCAAGTTGATCTTTACAAGTGTTTTAGAGTGGGAGGTCAGACAAAGAAAAACAGCTGTCTTGGTCAGAAATGAATTTTGAGAATACACTTGTGAGGGGATTTATTAAGTAAGAAATGATGTGTGCCAGCTTTTTTCTGGATTCGTGAGCAGAGCTCTTCTGGGGGAGGTGGGAGTGTGTATGTGCCAACAGTGTTCCCCCCGCTCCCCTAGGGAAGGAAACGTCCTGGAGTGTGGGCCGAGGCCCTGGCTGATGAGCCTCACCCACAGGCTTGATGTTTCCACGGGGAACATCAGAGCTTTCAAGTAGAGAATAAGGACTTCTAGTCTGAAAAATGAGCAGTTCACAATGAAATATTGGCAGATAATAAATTGGCTCACTACAAGAACAGTAACGGGGAGATAGAGAGTGCTAGTGCAGGAGCCCATCCTCATCCCAAGGTGGGCACACATCCCAGGTGTAGCTTTGCCACAGACTCAGACAGGGAATCCCTGTGGACTTTGGGGGTAGGACTTTAGGGATGCTGCTGAATCACAAATTACATGAAGCCTTTTCTTCTGGGCCCAATCGCTGGTACAGAAAGCCAATCCTCTGGGACTGGGCCCTTGAGTAGCTCCAGGGGTGGTGTGGTTGCATTTGGAGACTCTTTCCATTCCAAGTCTAAAGAGCTTTTTCTTTTCCCCTTCTCCTGGTCTTTTCCCTCTTCCTCCTGCCCTTTGGCTCTTTAAGGCATAGGGGAGGGAGGGCCCACCTGTTCCCCCTAGCTCCTATGTGGTCTCTTTGGCTAGATCTAAGAATCCAGCTAATACAAGTGCTGATGAACAGGAGAGAAGCATAAACGTTTTGTTAAACTTACATGTACCTGGGGATCTCTCCAAGAGAGCAGTAAGAAGAATTGACCAAAGCCTGATGCTTTTAGAGTTTAAAAAAAAAAAAAAAAGACAAAGAACAGTAAATTGGTGAAGGAAATGATGAGATGAAAGGCTATCTGAACTAGGATAGTAAGTTCTAGGGATGTTACTAAGAAATGTCTGGGAGGGGAACATAGAGGCTAGTGGAAGACAAGAGTCATTTCAAAATTTGTTGATCCAGATTCTCTGCAGCTCCCATCACCAACCTCTGGTGATCAGGCTGTTTTCCAACATTAGGTATGTGAAGGTCATTCCTCCCGAAAGAATCCTTATGGCCTGCTGCATGTGGGGGAAGATAGCCCCATTCTGAAGTGACAGTTCCTCAAGTGATTTCAGCTTGAAATAATCAATATACCAACTTGGCTTATTTTGAGACGGCACAGCCCACACTCTTTCAAAGGATGCTGTGTACTGATCACCCAGCAGGATTGGGAATGCCTTAGAACATACGGCCCTGGTGCCCTTTCCTATGGGTACCTGAGGGTAACCCCCATCCTGCCTTCTAATGCCATGGGTTAGCAACACTTGACCTTGCTCTACCTCATGAAATGATGCTGAAGGTGCTCACAGCTGGAAGACTGTGTACCTGTAGTTTATACACGTCACTGCATGAGTTCAAGGTCAGTAAACATTTACATTAAAAACAAAACAAAACAAAAAAAGGAATATCAAGATTCCAGTTTGCTCCATAAATCCAGAAAACAGTCTATTTGCAACTTTGGTGCAACCCATGGCTTTTATGTGTGTAGCCTCCTTCATATTATAGATCTGATTCCAGGAATTTTAATTTTGTTCTGGTTTATGGACCTTCTTTCTAATGCTGACATTGGACTAAAGCTCTTTTTTTTTTCCTTCTTTTTATAATTCACTAAAAATGTTAAATAAACATGTTGGTGTCACATCAAGCCATATAGGAAGTTGATATATAGTTACGATTTAGACTCCATAATGGCCTTTAAAGGTCTTACAAGTTGCAAAGAAATCTCTCCCGCTCCCCAGCCAGTTTTCTGATAAGCAGCAAGGGTTTTGGGGCCCTGCTGCGGAGAGAAGCAGATTGAACAGATGGTAACAGAGAAGGCTGCGGGAGGTTCCTCGTCACCTTTATGGTCACCATCTCTGTTACCTTCAGCTGCAGCAGTTTCCTAAAACTGCAATTTATTAGAGCAGAGATGACCATATTTTCAGAATGAAGGGCCACATAGTGACGTTTTTAGAATTCACAGTCCCTATGATCTCTGTTGTACTTATTCGACTCTTCCCTGATACCACTAAAGCAGCCACAGACAGTCCTGTTAGCCAATGGCCGTGTTTACAAAAACAGGCATCGAGCCTGCTTACCTGTTTAGAAGCCTAAAGAAGTATTATCTCCTTGTTGTGTATGGATGTTTAATTTTTATTTCGTGTCTTAATTTCTGCAATAAAAAATAATTTTACTAGCTATAAAGTATAAATGATTTTTTTTGTTATACATGGAATTTTGAAGTATTTTGCAGAAAGACTTCATTTTCTTAAGTAAGCATTTCTCAAACTGGCTTTGGGTATCTGCTGTCATATTCTGGATAGCCAGTAATATTTCTTTTCCCTTTAAATTTCTGAAAAGGGCCCATCATGCACTGCACGGACGTGTTACTTAACTTTTAAAGGCACCAACTTAGACCTTATGGCCTTTCCTCCAGAGCAATATTTTGCTGCCCCCTGCGGTTCCACTGAAGAATCACTTCAAAGGCCAGATAGAAATACAGCGGGAACTTTCTGCACTATTTTTTCTGAAGGAAATTTGTGGTGTGGAGCCGAGATGCAGTAGTGGTGTTCTTGGGTCATTGTAGATTTATATTTACAACTTTCCTTTCTAGAAAACGGGCTAAACACTCTCAATGCCTAGTTAAATTGTTTTTATATTACTCCAACTCTAAATGTCTTCAAACTGATTCAGAGCTAGTTTCTAAACAATAAAAAGAGCCAAACAAGAGTTTCTTTGTTTCCTTTTTAAAAGCTTTTTGGTTTTCTAAACACAAGTCTGATGTCCTTTCCCATTTATCGGGATGTTTGGAATCCTTTTTACTGCCTGCAGCCTTTGATCCCTTGTGTAAGGCCCTTTCCAAAGCCAGAGCAAACAGACACTGAGAAAGGCCAGCCTGGCTTTTCTATGGTCTTGCAAACCCCAATTGAAGAAGCATGTCCTCACACTCTCATGGAGCTTTTTAGCAAATGCCTGCTGAGCTCTGATTGTGAATCACATTGGTTCCTGAAAGATTTTCTGACATTTGCCATTCTGACAACTTAGGAATTTGGAAATGAACATTTTTCATAATTAAGAGCGAAGCCAAAAACCATACTTGCTTTCTCATTTTATGGGATTTTTAATATAAAACTTCAAAATTCAAGATGTGGGACAATTCTGTACAACATATATAATATTTTAAATATTTATATGCTTAATATTTGGCAGAGCTTTATTTAGTATTGACTTAAATTCTAATACTAGCTTGAAGGTATCTAGACTATACGATGAACCTTAACCTTAATAATAATACAGTTAAACAATATATAGGGCGGCTGAAAATTTCTAATCTGGCTCCTGTTGTTTCCTTTCTAGGTTTTTTAAATAGCTTCGAGGAGTTACAGGCTGAGGAATGTGGCATCCTCAATGGATGTGAGAACGGCCGCTGTGTGAGGGTCCAGGAAGGTTACACGTGTGATTGCTTTGATGGGTACCACTTGGATATGGCCAAGATGACCTGTGTTGGTAAGAATGAGTGGCCAGACCCCAGTCAGTTGAGTACATTGAAGATATATTTGTAGTATCAGTTTGGGAAGATGAGAAAAGTCCTGGAGATTACATTAAATATAGTTGTACTAATGGCACTGCACAGTACAGGTTCTATATTTTGTACAATTAAAATAAAGGTTGATACCTCATTTAAGAACCTACAGTGAGTGGAGTCAGAGGCATAGCTCAGGGTTCTAGCCCAATAGATGGAAGCCCTGGGTTCAACCCCAAGCTCTGCACATTGAAAAGAAATAAATTCAGAGTGGTAAATATGGAGGAAAGGCAAGAATATCCCAGGTAATTACTTTGACTCTTAAATTTAGCTTTTGACTATGCAACAGGAAATGAATACTGAATACTTGATACAGACAGAAAGGAGAGTAGACATCTCAAAAATATATTGCTTCCATATCATTTTGGATAAAACTTCTACTGAAACCATCTTTCACCCCCACCTCCCACTTTTGAGGTGAACAGGAAACATGCGTTTGGCATCTTCTGTGTAACTCTGATGTCTTTAGGCCCTGTTTGCTTCGGATAAAAGACCCGTGACTTGACATTTCTGCTATTTTTCTTCTCCCTCCAGAAGTGTTCACTTTGCCCACTTTGGTTTTGTGATTTTTAATTTGTGGTGGGTCTGGAAAACATGTAGCCTAGGTTCTTAAGGCGTTTTGGGCACTTGGCATCGAAACAGAACTTGTGTGGAAAGATATCAGAGAGTGTCATAATAGAAGGCTCTAGAGAGGCTGCCCTGAGAGCTCTCTGCTTGCTCACTTGGTTCCTTTTCATAAATCGATCAGTCCTAAAATTTGGGAAGGAATTTTGAAGTAATATGGCTCCTCCAACTTTCTTGAGGTTTGGCTATAAAGTGTCAAGATGAAAAAATGTTCGTGTTATATTAAATATCAGGGAAAGACATTCTAGAACCTCCCTGATAATTTACGTTAAGATTGAGATTGAAACAGACCATAATAGAAAAGTCCATACAGCCTATGGTTGGTGGGGAGGTAGGTACCTGCTTTGTATGAGTGTAGGTTGGGTTTCTCTAAGGAGTGATATTAAAGATTGTTGACCTGCATGGTTTGGCTTATTGCAGATGTAAATGAATGTGACGAGTTGAACACCAGGATGTCTCTCTGCAAGAATGCCAAGTGCATTAACACAGAAGGTTCCTACAAATGTTTGTGTCTGCCAGGCTTCGTCCCTTCTGACAAGCCCAACTACTGCACTCCGTTGAATACAGCCTTGAATTTAGAAAAAGACAGTGACCTGGAGTAAAAGAGAATCTACGTAACCTAAGCCCATATACTCTGCACTGTGTAAAGGAAAAGGGAGAAATGTATTATACTTGAGATATTGCACCTAACCCAGAATGTTGGAAATACGGAAACAGCAGAGAGTTGCGCATCCTCCAAAGACAATGAGAGGATTTGGTATGAGCCTGACTGGTGTTAACAGACCAAAAGGACATTTCTCTGAAAAACCAGTATATATAGTCTGTTCATATGTAAAATTCAATGGAAAAGAGGCAGAACAGTGCTGTTATTTTAAACAGAAGTTTGTATTATTATGTTGTTTAGTTGTTTTTTTTTCTATTGCTTAAATTTGGCATTTAAATAGTGGTGGAAATGTTTTATATAATTTTCATTTTTTGGTTGTGCAGTTCCTTGGCTACTGTTTTTCTTTTTAAAAAAATCTCAACTGCAAAAGTTTGATAAAATATTGTTAAGCTGTATTATAAGTATTGTGACCCAGGGTTCTGCTATTCCTGGTCTGGAGCATTTTTAAAATTAAAATTGTCTGTCCTGTGGAGCAGGCAGTGATCTTGTTTCAAAACTTTTATACACATTTGGAGAAAAAAAAAAAAACTTGATATTTTCAGTGTGTTGTCTGATCTTCCTGTCCATTCTTAGCCAAGCTGCTAGCAGGTTTCAATTGGATACATTGAGATGGAAGAATTTAGGAGCTTACAATAGTATTGTGATATGTAAAGTAAGTCCAGCAAATTTTCAAAACTTGATGATCTCCAATATATTTACCATTGTATGTTAAAGCAAAATAAATCACCATTTTTGTAGAAAAAATTCTACCTGAGAGTGATTGTCAGTGAGTGCATTTTAACACCTTGTATCCCATCAAGCTATCCCCAATCCTAACAAAAAACAAAAACAATGATCTTCTATTAATATAGATTTTTTTTCAAGTTAATCACGAGTTAATCATTAGTTAGATGTTGTTTTGGGCTGCATTGTTTCCCCCGCCTCTAAAATTCATTTGTTGAAGTTCTAACCCTCAATACTTGAGAATGTGCTGGAGATAGGATCATTAATGTTAAATAAAGTCAATGGGGTGAGCCATATCCAATATGGCTGGTATGCTTACGAAGAGCTGCTACAGACACAGACACACACAGAGGAGAGGACTTGTGAAGATACAGGGAGAAGATGACCACTTACAAACAAAGGAGAGGCCTCAGGGAAAAAAACAAGAAGGAAATAAGCTTTGCTAAAATCTTGATCTTGACCTTTTAGAGTCCAAAATTGTGAGAAAATAAATTTGTTTAAACCATCCAGTCTGTGGTGCTTTGTTACAGCAGCTCTAGCAAACTAAGACAGACATGTATCACAAGACTAATGAACAACAACTTTCAAAGTTCCCTTCCTTGCTTACTTAATCCACATCAAGAGTAATGCAATTTTTTCCTAACTTAAACTGAAATTCAGAATCTATTTTCATTTAATTATAGCATCTGTGTTTAAAACAAAACAAAACAAACAAAAAAACTAGGTACAGGCACACATTGTGCAGAAAAATCCTCCAATTAAACATTTCCCTTAGGGCTTTGCTTTTTTCTATCTATAGTAAGCAGAATAATGGCACCTCAGATGTCTGTGTCCTACTCCTAGGAACCTGTTGAGCAAAGGAGAAGTAAGGTTTCAGATAAGATTGCTAATCAGCTAGCCTTAAAATAAGGAGATTATCCTGGGTTATATGGATGAGCTCAAAGTGATCATAAAGATCTTTACAAAAAAAGAGGACCTTAAAAATAGAAGGCGGCAGAAGAGAATCAGAGAAAGTTGTGAATAGGGAAGATGTCAGATGTAACATGGAAAAGACTCAACCTGCCATTGCAAGCTTTGAAGATGGAGGAAGCAGAAAGGCGGCACTAGCCAAAGAACGGGGGCAACTGGAAAAAGAAGAACCTTTCCCTAAAGCCTCCAGAAAGGAATGAGCCTGGTCAACACCTTGAAACCTTTAAGTCCAGTGAGACTTGTGTCAACTTTTAACCTATGGAACTGTGATAAGTGTGTGTGTGTGTGTGTGTGTGTGTGTGTGTGTGTGTTGTTTGAAGCCACTAAATCTGCACCAACTCACAGCTAATACAGTACAGAAGTTCCTAGAAGATTATTATCTTACCTATCTCAACATTTTTCAGCTGATATTTATATAGAAGAAATATGTAACCTGTTTCCATCCCAAGAAGAGACACCCAGATCACCAACATTCTAATATGATGGTTTGACAGCATTTCAGTTGTATTTTTAGGAAATTGAGGGGTTTGGGATGAAGTGCATCAAATTCTGTTAGCATTTTCACACGGAATGTTTATTATTATAGGTTACTGACATCATGCAGGAGATACCAGTCCATGTAATAAAAATAAATAGCTTTAAATTGGCTTTTTAGCAGTTTGTTGTGTAAGTTGTTTCATAGCCCTAGAAAAAAAATGTTAATTTTGTAACATATAAGGTTCTTCTAGCTCCTTTCAGAAATTACTGAAATTTTACTTTAAATGTCCAGCTGTCATCATTCAAAGTTTGAGATTCTGTGGCAACAACCCCCAATTTGTTGGCCACCAACAGACAGGCACATAGTAAAATGAATTTTAGTCATTTATTAGGTTTGTACGTGAGACTGGTCTCTGTACCTTAAAAGACTGATAATAACATTTTATACTTTGTCATAAAACCAAACTTTTCTCAAAAAAACCAAATATGGACATCAGATTCAAACCTGTGATTTAAAGTCATATTCTTGAAATCTGCCAGGGTGGTAGAGATGAGCACTAAATACAAATCCAGCAAACCAAACTCTTAACTATGTCAAAGTTCTTCATTGTATTTCTCTAAAAATGTTTGTATGACATAGGATGTTCTAATTTAGTTTTAGTGTTTTCACGGACAGAGAGACTAACTTCTGATTCCAAAATGTACTTTAATTTTTGTAAATCATGTTACCATATCAGCAGAAATGTATAATGGTAGAAAATCTCATATGCATAAGATATGAAGTTCATGAACATTTCATTTGAGTCAACAGTGCAAGAAATTAACCTCTAAGTCAATGTTTCATGCACTACCTTGTGGAGACAAGATGTACAAGAGCAGAATACATCACACTAACCATGCCTCATTGGGATCTCCAAGGTGGTAGAATGGAGGTACCCTGCATTCACCTCCTCCTCCACAAAGAAGAACCATAGTAACCAGTATATAGCTGCATGTTGAGGGAATTGACCATGGAAGAACACTGAAAATCAGCAAGACAGGGATTGGAACCTTGTAAGATTCAGAGACCTAGTATGATAACACAGAAAGAGAAACAACACAACCCAGCATCTGCCACCCTGACAGAGTGAGTCTACTACCTTTTGCAAGGGGAAGGGTGCAGGAGTCCCATCAAACTATCAGTGTGGATTCCGGCAATCCTAGATACTGATAAATTTCACAGTCCTCACAGGCTTGAAGCCCACTGACAAAAGTAACCTAATGTGGGCTGAAGCTGGGCCGGAGAAGCAGGGCTGGGGCAGGTACCCCAACACCGTGACCCAGAGAGTGCTGGGGAGCAGCAGCAGGCGACACCGGAGGCCAGCTCTGGGCTGGAGGTTGGAGGCGACCAGGGCCATCTGGTGGGGAGCCCTGGGCAGGTGAGAGTCAGGTGTGGGGCCTGGACGGAGGGCACAACGGGAAGCTGTCCCTCTGCTTTAAGAACTAAGAGGTGAAGTGGGGGACTCGGCCCTGTAGGCAGGGCTGCCCCACAGCTGGGTTTCAAGGTCTTCATGGTTTGTCTGCTGGTGTTTTTTACCGCGCTGGGGATGGAGGCTGGGGCCTCGTGTGTGCAGAGCACCCTGCCTCTGAGCTGCACCCGGCCTCCATGCCCTGGGAGGGACTGCGGGCCCTTTTTCAAAACAAAGTCATTTAGGAGCTCGTTTTTCCCGATTGCCGCAAATGCAGATCCAGGGCTGGCTCATCCTGTCGTGGCTGTCCCTCGTGGTGCACTGGGGTTGGGGCATTGAGTGGGTGGGACACCGAGGGCCTGGGGAGGTGCCTGCCACGCGGGAGCTCTACTGGGCTGCTGTCACCCACACCCTTGCACCGAGGCTGTGCCCCATCACCAGGCAGACTCTTCTCCCGGGAGCTGGAACATTCCAGTTCGAGCCCCAGGCCAGGGTCTTCTGGATCTGCAGCCCAACAGAAGAGACTGAGTCTCATTATGGCCTCGTCCCTCCCACTCCCTTAATGAACTCCACTTCCCCTCATTGCAGCTTTCATGAAAACCATCTGGTGGGGCTGCCCCGCCCCAGCCCTGGGCTGCTCCGCCCCAGCCCTGGGCTGCTCCAGCAGCAGATCTTCCTCCTCCTGTGTAGATTTTCAGGCAGCAGCTGCCCCTGTGTCCTGGGAACTGTCCCAGGACAGTTCCCAGGACACAGGTCCCACGTGGCGCCCTGCATCTGCCACACAAAGCAGCCTCAAGGCAGTCCCTCCCTCCGTCAGTCCCTCCCTCGGTTAAGTCTTGGCAAGGTCGTGAGACCGGGCTGACTCTCCCCTTGCACAGGTGAGGAAACTGAGGCTCCAGGAAATGAGCGGCCTTCGAGGCCAAGGTCCCAGAAAAGTGCAGGCAGAAGGCGGGTCTCTGACAACAGCGGCTTGTTCAGAGCTGGGGACCCTGGATGGTGGCCCCCGGGGAGCCAGCAGGTAGGTCAGGGTCCGCTCAGCTGCTGTGCAGACTGAGGGGGGTGCACAGGGTTGGGGGTTCTCCCCCAGGGGACACTCGGGAAGGGAGCCTGCCTGCTCTGATGGGGCTGTGTCAAGGGACACAAAAGTTGATCTCCCTACAAGACCCAGAGGCTGCCCGTCAGCCAGCACCAGGGGGAGGGACATGAGCCATGCCTTTCAGGACAGGGCAGGGACATCCTCACATGGCTCCTGCCCACTGCCCTGTGGCCAGGACATGGTCACATGGCCAAGCCGAGCTGCAGGAGATGGTGGGAAGTGGAGACGTGACCTGTGACCCGGAGGCGGTGGGTCCCCTGTCAGAGCTCCTGGGGCTGCAGAGCAGGAGAGCAGCATTGAGGCACCCCTGCCACTGCCTGTGCTCTTCTGGGCACTTTCAAGGTCAATCTGACCTTGATTTCCACCTCTTGAGTGGACTTCAGGATTTAGCCACAGAAACAGGTTCTAGAAGTCCAATGCGGTCAGCAGTTCCCAACCCTCTGACTAGAGTTCCTGGGCTTCGGTCAACACATGCCCTAACTATTCTTGGTTCCACTGGGGTGCCTCCTTCCCTTAGTAATTTACTTAACACCTCTTCCATATTTTCGTCACAAAGACAATACAATACACTGAGACAAAACAAGACACAAACATACTGTATCAATTTTCTCGAAATGGCCATTTTTCCTCTCGCCCTATCTGCCTAGGGACGAGCAGATTTGCTCCCGTCCTATCTATGGAAGGGCAGCTTTTTCTCGTCACTTACCCCAGAGTGTCCCGGGGCTCCCCATACTGGCCACCATCTGCCGCAGTCCGGCTGCAGCAAAATAACCAGGGGGTGAGGAACAACTTGTGTAGATTAATACAGCAAGAGTGGAAGCCATTTATTGCAGGACCGGAGGGGTATTTATACATCACACACAGCTTAATTAACATAAACTAGATACAGCAGCCAACTAATAAGGAATCTTCACACTTAATGGCTCCCTGGCGTTACTTCATAAACCACTTCCTCTGGCAAAATGCCAGGCGCCATCCTGACTTGTTTACAGACCCTAACAGCCAGGGACTCTGCCTCCTGCCCTGCATCCTGACATCCAG